GGTCTGTTAGTATTTTCCTCCTTTTATTTCTAAAATAAAAAACAAAACAAAAAACAAAAAAAAAAAAAAGGAACTATTGCCCATGACCTTGATCAGTGCAACTTTTCTTCCCCTAACAAAACACTGCAAACTTTTAGAGAGTATCCCTTCTCTTAGAGGCACGTTTATTTGGGGCGACTTGGCATCTAACTGTTAAAATTGGAGAAGAGAGGGTGTCAGACTTCCCTGAAGCTCCTCTTTAGCATCATCACTGCTACTTAACCCCCTTCGGCACTTTTCTAGCACTCTATTGCCCTGTCCTGCTCCTCCACTCCACCTACAAATGCACACAGGCCCAAGCAAGATCTGTTAGGAGACCTCGCAGAGACACCTAGAGACATGAGCAGTGTAGGCAGCCTCCGCCACCCCAGCAGGCTTGCCTCTGCTCTATTCAGTGAGGTAAGTCCCTTTCTCTCCTCCGTTCTACACATGACTCTCAACACTTCTCAAATTTCTCTAAATTAGCCATGATAACCTAAGGAAAGCAGGAAAAGGTGTTTGTGTAAAAATCTGCATGGCTCTCCATTTTTAAAAAAAGGTCCTAAAATCTCTTGCTTTAGCTTAATAATTGATGCAATGTTTATTTTAATTTAAATGTTTCAAATAACCTAACAGTTAAAATATCTTCAAGTAAAACTAATTCCCTAGGAAGATGCCCAGGCGCAGAGTATGACTCCACACACCTCCAGCATCACGTCCATACCTCCAAACGGAGAGGCGTAGACACTTAGACACTGATATCTACATCTATGAGTGCTCTATGGCCCTCCTTACTCCTAACCCCAAGATCCTTACTTTGTAAAGTGAATACTAGGAAAGAGAATGAAAAGGGAAAGTCAGGCAAGGCAAAGTTATACACTTCAAAAATATCCTGTAGCTCTAATTTCTAAACAGTCCAGATGAGCTCTGTCTCCATTTGTCCAAATAATGGGTTGCAGTGAGAAGTGTCTTTTCTTACCACCTGCATTTTACTCCTTGGCCTCACAATTTATTTTAGCTGTGTAGTTTAACGCTCACAAGAAGAGAAATTTATTCCAATTGTCAAATTTGTTACCTTATCTTTCTTCTTCCCCAATTGTTCTGTCTTGGCCGTGCGCAAACCAGGGTTGACTGAGGTAAAGCAAACACATGAATGTAACAGAAAAACAAAATTAGGAGTTTAAGGGTAAAGGCAGCAGGAGAATATTTTGAAACAGCAATCTGTTTATAAGGCTCCCGTTTCCCTTCTAATTTTCGGGGGAGTTCCTTACTTTCTTTCTTTAGAAGTCTCTAATAGGCTCCCAAAGTCCAATACAAGAGCTGACAAAACCAAGTGAGAATAGGCATAAACAATGAAATACGCTGCATGAGGCAAGAGAGGGCGGTGCGCACTGTGGCGAACAGGGAAGCGTCTGCCCTCCACAGAAACCAGCTTATACTTCGCTAATTTCGGGTAACCCTGGAGCGGAGTGTTGGCAGACCTTCTCAGCACTCAGGAAAACTCCAAAATCTGCACTTTCACAATGCAAACCTTCTGTCCGTTTCCACATGGCAACCGGTTTAAAATTTAAAATATATATATGGGGGAGCCAAACTCAGTCTATACTGGCTAGATCCAGTCTGGGTTTATCACTTGTGACTTGCATCTAAAGCTATGGGGAAAAATAATAAAATAAAACAAAGCTATGGGGAATACAGAGACCTATTTCCCTTAAGCTAAAAACAATTTCAAGTCAAAGAATATCATGTATAGGTACAAATTCCCTATGATAAATATGATCATTATGTAGATCTAAAATATACCAATAAACTGACGTTTGAAAAAAAATTCCAAGGACCTGATGAAAGTGAAAGGTCTAAGTGCCAAGACCAGTAGGGACCTGTACCCTGCTTCCCGGCCACACTTGCAGCCTCTGATTCAATAGCCCTCAGAGTGCCCCAAGGCCCTAAACCCCCAGACTTGCCACAGACCCCCGAAATCCAAAGTGGTTTGGAAAAGGTAATTCAGCAGACCTTGAGAGACTGTGTGTGCGGGGGAATGGTCATTGCAGTGATGCCAGCTTGGACAATACCCAAAAGCAGAGAGACTTCCCCAAATTGTAGTGCTGCGTATGGCCCCAGAACAGTGGATAGAATGTGAGCCATAAGGATATCTGATGTCCGTATTGTCGCTAAGGAAAAAGCTAAATTACTTAATGCCTGTCTCCTCTTCGCGAGGGCAGAAGCCTAGTTGGGCTCTCTCACCAGCTAGCACTGGGCATAGTGTGCGGCATACAGTGGAGTTGCAACACTGAAGATTTACCGAATGAGAAATGGTGAGATATAGAATTTTAACAAAACCTCACTTATGCATATAATTAGAAATCAGTTAAATCCTCCTCCCAAATTAACAATTCATTAAGAATTGCACAATATCTAAACCACCAGGTCTGTGAACTGTGATGATGCAGAGTAGAATTACAAATCAATGACAATTCTGTGTACTCCAGCTAGGGCAGCTGGGAGAGTGTGGATACTGAGCTTGGTGAGGTAACGATACTGAGCGGTGAATGAAATGCTTCGCAACATGATGCAGGAGGGCAGATGCTGATAAAAGATGAGTGGTGGCGGTTACTTAACGCAAGTCATTTGACTTGTGGCTGTGGCTGTAGCTTGGAATGCTGCGAGTGTGGGTCGGGCTCTATGTTCCCTTCTGGGAGCAAACCAGCACCCCATATCTGGGCCCTCTGTGGGACTGCCTGTCCTCTCCCCGTTCCCGCACTGGCCCCGCAGTTCTGTGTGTCTCCAGGGCAGGGACAGAGTACAGTACAGAAGCTGCTTTCCTCTGTCAAAAACATGGAAGAGGAATATAAAAGAGGAGGAAGCTGTGTGAATTTGAGCGTCTGGAAGTCTCTGACAACCTCGCAGAAGCAAGGTGGCAACCAGCGTGGGCCCACCTTCAGGGACTAATGATAAACCCAAGCAGTACCCTCCTCAAATCACTTCCTCAGAATAAAGAGAATTTTACATGCACTGAAGTCCCTTCTCAGTGGCTTTCCTACCACTGAAAGGCTGTCCCTTACCCATGCCACCGCTATGATCAGTTGCGCCGAGCCCAGATGCTTGGATTATAAGCAGCTTGCTTATATCTACCATTCCCTGAATCTGAAGGAAAAAAAAGCCAAAATTAGTTAAAAGAGCATTATTTGACCCCTAAACTGGCTACTTCCCAATCTTTCCAAAGACTGTAAAGAACCAAAGCCTAAAGCCTGGTCTCCAACCTAAACTCTGTGTCTTTCTTCAACCAGCAAATCAGGCTTTCTATACAGTATTTGTGGACAATAGAGTTGAATATCTATGCCTTACTTGATCTGCACTGAAAATTCCCAGCTTGGAAAGCAGAGAATCCCCAGAAAACAATGTGCTACTTTCATTTCTACACTGAAGGTCAAAGTTTCAAGGCCCAGCCTTCTCAAGGTGGCAGGAATTGTCTTCCTTTCTTAGAGCTTTTGCTCCACAAGCCACAAAACTGTGTCCCAAAATGCAAGTAATAGACAAGAAATAATTACAGCTGTCATTTCTGAATATCATTTAATCCTCACAACTAACCCACTACCATGGCTGCTGCCAGTGTCCCCATCTTACTAAAGATCAGAATGGTTAAGCAGTGGCCCATCCACACTCAAGTGCCTGGGTCACAGGGCACAGGGGTCAGGATTTAAACCCAGGTTTGCCTGACCCACACCTTGGTCTCTTTAATAAAGTAGATGGCTGATATTGCTCCTTTTGCACCCTTGCCTCTCAACCCCACCTCTGAATTATTGAAAGGTACAAAGTAACAACGTTATGAAAGGGAGAAATCACTCACCAACTTTTCTAGGGCATAAAAGTTTCATTTACACAGTTTAAACAGGAAAAAAGCAGACTCTCCCAAGAAACTTATTACCCAATCAAAAAGCCATCAATATTCTCACAGCCTCTTGGGCCTACCCATCATGGGCCCCTAACCCTAAACCTAACCCTTCCAGCACCCCAGAGGCCCAAAAGCAGGTGGCTTGGCCCATTAGGGACCTTGCTTCTTCTACTTTCCCCACACCCTGTTATGCGCTAAGTCAGTGGCAGTGAACCTAGGGCCCGCATGCCACAGCAGGCTGTTTGCATCACTGAAAGCTCTAAACGGTTCACTATCACCGCCCTAGGTGTGTATGTTTCCCCCACCCTTACTTACAGAGGTGTGGGATGAAGACACCCAGGACCTAGCGCATACTACTACCAAGGTGCACCTGTTGCCCCTAGTGTGACAACCAAGTGATGCAGCAACAAATTTCTCATCACAATTTAGAAACTTCCAGAGCTGCAGTAGCACACCGGCGTCACTGTTTTGGTGTGAATTTGAAAACATGCACGGTACCTCCTCCTTCCTCTGTGAAGACGGTCTCCCACCACGGCAAAAGGTTTGGCAGGTAGTGAGCAGGCAGATCGTTGCCTCTGCATCACATTCTTGTGAGGGGCACCCAGGCTAACACAGGGCCCTGTTATGTTTTCACTGTTTTGTTCAGGGCAGGTAAGAACTGCAAGGTCTCTCCAGGTTAGATTTCTTCCTGAGATGGTTGAATGACATTTGTTTTGTTTGTTTGCTCCTATTTTACTTATTGGATTTATTTTCTTTGAAAGTCTTTTATAATTGTACATGTCTTTCAATTTTTAATTGCCATGTAATTATTCTGTAATCATTCTGCATTTTTGTGAGGTACAGTGGAATCATTGTATATCATTCTGCATAATTATTTCGTAATCATTCTGCATAATTATTTCATAATCATTCTGCATTTTTGTGAGGTACAGTGGAACATTTCCATATATGTATGCGATGTGTGTGAATAGTCGGAGCAGGGTCACTGGCATATCCAGCAACTCAAATATTTATCGTTTCTTCATATTAGGAACAATCAAAATTTTCTCTACCAGCTATTTTGTAATACACAAGTAATTGTTGTCATTTAACTTTTAAAGGCACTTATAGGATACCACAAAAAGAAAATGACCCTGTAGAAATGATGCTTCTTACCTGATTACAGGTTTTAGGTATAATGTAAGGTGCAAGATATGGCTCCTCCGTAGCACTATTAATCACATAGCCATACACAATAATGACAAATTTCATGGTCACGTTATTAAGAGTCATTTCAGTGTAGATCGGTAAGCTCTCCACATAGGCATGTTTGTTCATCACACACTTCTGAAAATCTAAGTGCTACAATAAAATTACATTTCTTTCTGTAGATCATACAAACTGACACAGGGTATAGAGAAGAAAATAAAACAGTGATCTATCCTTATTCTTTGATGATGTCAGAAGTCATACTGACCCTAGTACCAACAGACATAATTTATTTAAAGGTTGGCACGACCGCTAACAAATTTCCAAAGTCAGGTTTTAGGGTGGTGGATGTGGCTACCAAGCACTGCTTTCTGACCGTTCCATCAGTGCAGCAGGGCGGTCAGCTTTGCCTGGTTGGATTCTTATTTACACCAAACCAGGCTTAAAGATTCAGAAGTTTTCCCTGGCAGTAAACAAACAACCCACTTAACAGTTAAGCAAACCATAACAAAAAGCAAAAATTATAGCAAGACACTGAGTCTGAATGATAATTGGAGGCTCAGAATAACAGATTTTACTTATTTATTTATTTATTCATTTCTCTATCTATTTACTTGCTTATTTGAATCACAGACTTTAGAGCTGGAAGGGAGCTGTGATAAATTGATTGATTGACTGATCGATTCTCCCCTACCACCAAAATTCTCATGTTGAAATCCTGACCCTCAGTGCCTCAGAATGTTACTTTGTCTGGAAATACAGTCAATACAGATGCAATTAGATAAGATGAAGCCATACAGCAATAGAGGGAGCCCCTAATTCAGAATAACTAATGTTTTCATTAAAAGGTAAAATCTGGAGACAGATTTGTATACAGGGAGAAGACTTGAAGGCAGTCTTCTGCAAGCTAAGGAGAGAGCCCTGGACCAACGTCTCCCTCACAGCTCTCTAATCTTGATTTCCTATTTCCTATTTCTAGTACTCTTAGACCAGTATGTGGTACTTCCTTACAGCTGCACTAGCTAATTTGCTACCATTCAGACTCAATGTCTTACCTGCACTAGCTGCACTGGAGCATAGCAGTCAGTGCTACAGTAGAAATGAGCTGGACAGGGCCTGACAAGGGCCATGAACCTCATCTGAACATCTCCAGCCCTTGGATATTAGTCACTGACCAGCAAATCAAACTCCCACTTACTGAAAGCACCAGGCACAGCTGGGCCACCAAGAACACAAGAAAATTAGCAAACTTTTTATTTAGAAGTTTGCAATCAGGAAAATATGAAAAATAAGCTGTTTGTCTTTAAAACTGCAAGTATATTTGAGTTTGTGATTTGGGGCAGGAAGAGTATAATTTTATTAGTGCTGGAGTAGTCTAAAGTCTTAACTGGCTAGTTCCTTCATGAAAAGACTAAAAGAAAATAAACCAAAGTGTTCAATAGTGGGTCTGGGGAATCAGATTCGGGGCATAAGGTCATTACTGGTTTTTAATGTTTTATATCTGTGTTTCCTCATTTATATGATGAATTTGTGTTGTTTGTGAATGTAAAAATAAAGGACATTCTCCTTGTTGTTGAGTCAAATCTGGCTCTACTGGTCCTATGTCTCCTCTCCAAGGCAAACAGGAAAGAAAACAATGTCAATCTCATTACCTTTCCACTAAAATTTCTCTGGAAGTTATTATTGTCACATAGAAAAAAATAAAGCCAATTGGCCTGTATGACGTGCTAACTTTTTTTTTTGCCTTTTTGAGACAGGATTTCACTATGTAGTTCAGGCTGGCCTTGAACTCACTTTGCAGCCCAGGCTGGCCTCAAACTCACAGCGATCCTCCTGCCTCAGCCCCCCAGTGCTGGAATTACAGGCATGCACCACCATGTCTGGCCTTGTGCTAACTTTTTAATGCAGTGTTTATATCCAATTGCTTAGTTTCGTGAATATTGTTAAATTTCAAGTCTGTCACTTCCTCAGATTCCAATTTATATTTGAGGTGAGAATAATTATTAGATAGGATACAAATACAGAACTGTAACTTCTGCCAGTCCACGAACAGACTTGAAGCACTTACTCTTTGGAGAGAAGGTGCATGGAAGAGGGCTTAGTTATCTCAACAAAGATTTTGAAAAGGCAAGAGATTTATGTTAAGGTAGGTATAGCAGACCACACTAAAACCCAGACTGAGCATTCATTTATTTGTTCTGGTTAATGGTATGCTTGGCTTTGAGGTTATCTTCCTATTTAACATATTTTATTTTTTTTTCTTAAAGGAGGAATGTAGGAAGCGTGGGAAAATTAACTGTGATAAAAGGATTAAGAACATGTAGTAAGTCAGGAAAAAGAGTGGATAAAATTCTAGCAATTTTATTTTAGAAAGCCAGACAGAACCTTCCTTTCTATCTTTATGGAAAATATGGAGTACATTTTCTAAAGAATACAGCAACTAAAAGTTCATTTGCTTTAATCATGTAACTTACCTCATCAGCAATACTTGTTTCAAAATACTGATAAGCAGTATTTAGAGCAAAATTAAGCCATATTTTATATTCCAGGGAAGGCCAGAAGATATCAAAGCCTTCATATAAATTCTCCGATGAGATAAAGAAGGCCTGAAATGAAAAGACACCAGGCCATAACCAGCTGGATTTGGAACTAAATTATAAGACCATCATAAAACAAGATGCCTGCATATTTAACCTTCACTTCAGAAAAACTATTAGCTTTTGCATGACTGATATTCTCCCACTTAAAAGTAATTATACAGTGGAAACGTTGTTTGCTGTGTATAGATAATAAAATTTACGGTTCAATTAAACTATGACTTAATAGTCCAGGAACATTCATATCAACCAATATATATGCTGAAGGACGGCCCTCATGAGCCCAAAATTCAGGAACCAAGTGCTACAAACATATGTATTTTTATTGTCACAGTAGATGAATTCACAGTAGCACTTTTTAGTCATAGTACTTGTTTCTGGATGCAAGCAGCAGACTTAACTGAAAATGACCAATTTCAGAATTCAAGTTCAGTGACTCTCAATGAACCCATTCAGCCTTGTGACTAAATTCATTCCTTTAGTCCTCTTCCAGAAGGGAAATGGCACAAGGTTGATTAAACAACAATCCCTTCTGCTCCACATACCTCTAAGCCTCTGGGTTTTGTTTTGTTTTGTTTTGTTTGTTATGGTACTGGAAATCAAACTCAGGACCTTGTCCTTGCCAGGCAGGTGCTTGTGCCACTGAGCTATATCCCTGGCCCCCCTCTAAGCTTCTGAATCCTGTTCTATTGTTGTAGCTAATACCACCATCCCCCAAAGTAGTAGGAACTTGGGTTCATTTCTATTTGAATTCTCTAGTAGAATGTCAGACCATTTATTCAATGAACAGAGAACTTCTTACTTCCCAAGTGAAAAATGAAAGGAAGAAAATTTACAAACAAGCTAATATCTTTTAAAACACTGCTTTCAGAATGCTGGCCCATTGCTGAGCATCTATACATGCCAGGCAATTGACACAGAACATCAAAAAGTAGGTATTCTCAGGGTTGGGGATTTAGCTCAGTGGCACAGCACCTGCCTGGCAAGCGGAAGGTCATGAGTTCGATTCCCGGTACCGGAAAAAAAAAAAAAAAGAAAGAAAGAAAAAAAGTAGGTACTCTCTCTATTGAATAAACAAGAAAATTAAGACTCCAAAGGTAAAAATAATTCACCACGGTCCTGTAGCCCGGAGATAGTAAAGCTAAACATAGTCCTGCATGTGAAATGTGAAAGCTGCCTTCCCAGGTACTCTGCACTGCCTCCCTGGCTGGATGATTAAACAAACTATCAGAATTCAAAGGAAGAAAACATACCGGCATCCTTATTACTTGAGGAAAAATTAACTAATACACCAGATAAGAACTACTGCCTTACTTACCTGTAACGTAGTTTCACAGATGGCAGTGTATTTCATCTCCTCCCTGAGCAGGCAGCTCAGCTCTCCAAGGACTTGACCACTAGTGCAGTATTCTGTGAATAGGGTTTCATCGTCAAAGTCCGGCCTCTGGATACAGTCTATGCCAAAGGTAGGAGATGTGCTATGCAGCTGCCGGGGGTGCGGCGGAGAATGGGTAAAGGGAAATGAGGTATTAAAACTTCTGGGAACAAATGACAGGAGCCCCCACGATTTCTTACAGCTACTCCAGGGAAAGGTAAAGATTCTTCGTGAATTCCGTCAGGTGTGAGGAAAGAACCAGCCTTCATAAAAGCTATGGTTCCTTTTACATTCCAGCTCCTCAGGGTGAAGATCTTTTTTTCATATAAAAGTGAGATTAAATCCTAACAGATTGCCATACTTAGTATCCTTTTAAAAATACAACTAACCTCTTCGTGTTTTTACCACCTCTAGCATCTGATTGCTTGAGCATCCCTAACCCAAACATCTGAACTCTACAACGAGTGCCAACATGACACTACAGCAAAGAAAATTCCACACTTGACCTCTTCTAACTGGTTTCAGTCAAAATGCAGGCACGCTGAAAATGTAGTATAACATTACCATCAGCCTATATGTGTAAGGCGTACATGAAGCAAACAAATTTCATTTTTGACTTGGGTCCCAGCCCCAGAATATCTATCTATCTGTCTCTCCATCTGCCTATCTATCTGTCTTCTATGTATCAGAAAATATCCCAAAATCTGAAAAAAAAAAAAAAGAAAGAAAACTAAAATCCAAAACACTCTGGGTTCCAAGCATTTTTTGGATAAGGGATGTTCAACTAGTATAGATTCAACTTAATTATTTTGTTGACCATTCCATCTCCTTTTATCCCTTCACTAGAGAATAAGCTTTAAAATGGCAGAGACTTTTGCTTATTTTCTGAATTCTGGGCCAAGAATGAACAGTATCTGCTCCATGGTAGTAATGAAGTATATGTTTGTTGAACAAATGAATGAATGAAACTGCTGAGCTCAGAATAGTGCCGGATGCTGAGTTAGTGTTACATCGTGTTGGTATTATTTTTACCATAACAGTTTATTTCCCTGATATGAAAAGCTCATTCTAAAGCCAGGAAGAGGCTGGGCATGGTGGTGCATGCCTGTAACTCCAGCACTCAGGAGGCTGAGGCAGTAGAATTGCTATGAGTTTGAGGCCAGCCTGAGCTACATAAGCAAGTTCAAGGTCAGCCTGAACTGCATAGAGACCCTGTCTCAAAAAATAAATAAATAAAGCCAGAAAGTCAAATATATTATTTTCTCTATTATAAGGGTTGTCCCATAAAACCATAACTAGAATCTAAGATTGGGGCTCATCTCTATATTCAGCTACTAATGTACTAGTTAGAAGATACAGAAGATTCTTCTCTCTCTCTCTCATCAACAAAAGCCTCCTACTTGTCTAATTAAAAGTTGTATTTTTGCTCTTTATGCTACTTGATCTTTCTAAGGACTTGATTTTGCAGCTCACCCCTTCCTCATTCTTGAACTCTTATGTCCTTTCTGTACATAATTTAAATCACTCTAAATATTATTTTCCTTGACTGAACCTCCTAAAAAATATGGCTTCCCCCGCAGGATTGTTGTGAAGAATAAGTAATGATCGCAACACTTTATAAAACAGTAAGCACATCCAGGTGTTAAGATCCTTATGCTAACTCAACCAGAATGGTTTCATTTGGCTCATAAATTACTCCTGATTTGACAATTCTATATTTCAAGACACTTTTTTTTTTCTTTTCTTTTTTTCAATCCAGTCTGGTCTTGAATTTATTATGTACCTAGGCTGGCCTCAGATGCATGGTCATCCTCCTGCCTTGGCCTCTCAAGTTCTGGGACTACAGGCATGTACCACCATGCCTGACTTATTTCAACATACACATTTTAGGAAAAGAATCAGTAGTTTCTTACACTCGCCATTCCAGAAATAATGAGGTAGATTCCTAGCGGCATTTCACCTTCTCTACAAACGACATCGCCATAGTTAAAGTAGGCAAGTTTGGTTCTTTCCTGGATGGAGCAGGAGAGAAAAGGAAAAGAGAAAGAAGGGAAAGGGAGAGTCAGCACTGAAGATTCATACTCTGCTTTCCTAAATAGAAATGAGATTTTAAAGCTAAAATTGGTTTTCAAGTAACATAAAAACACAAACTATATTCTTGGTTTGTTAATAAAGTACAATATGCAGCTATATCGCAACAACTTTAGAAATAAAGAGATAAACAAACCATAAATTTTGTGATTAGTACCTAGTACAGTACAGTAAATGACATAGAATGAATGATTAAATTAATGAAGAGAAATAGTTTTTAGCCATCATTAGGGGCTTGCACTATAATGGCAAGCTAAACAAATTTCCTGCCTCCGGATCTTTTACTTACATTGTGTAGATGTTTACAACTAAGTGCGATGAGTGTGACAAACAAGACAAGACAGGATACTACTGAGTATGCAGAAAGCACAGAACCTCTTGGTTGTTCAATGAGCTCTTTACAGAAAAAGGAATAACTAAACTGAGACCAGGAAGAAGAACACCAAATAGCAAAATAATATGAAGATTCACTATGCGCAAAGACCCAGAAGCAAACATAATATCTGCAGTTGAGGGAACTGAAAAAAAATTTTCAATATGCCTCAAGCAGGAAGTCATAAAAACCATAAGCATCAGTAGTTACCCAGTAGGCATAAGGTCTGGGGTCCGCTGTACTGTAGAGACTCACGCAATGTTCTAATTTCTTTGATAAATCAGAAGAGGAAAAGGATAAAAGAACTTTTAAATTGAGAAAAATGCTTTAATGTATTCATTTTTAAACTAACTAATACAGACATAAAGTACAATGTTTAAATATATTTTGATGGAAGAAGAGGTCCCACTAAGGCAAATTTGATAAGGGCCCATGAGGGTCACAGTGCAGCCCTGACAGAGACCCTGCTGGAGAGGCGGGTAGGGCCAGGTCTTGAACGCTCTTGGGGACTTAAAAAAAAAAAAGAGTTCATCTTTTCTTAAAACAAGTAAGAAGCCACTGGCAGCATTTTAACAGAACTAGGGTGACAGAATGGCATTTCTGAAAGGTGCCAAATCATCCATAGAGGTTATCTCAGGGCAGGATTTGATTTATTCTCCTCTTTTGAAAGGAGAATAGCTCTGATGTTTCACTTAACATAGTTCTGAATTGTCTGACAGCATTAAAATAAGCATGGGCAGTGATGCCATTTTCAAAAAGAAAAAATTCACCTGAAGCAAATTGTTCTGCTTCAATTCAGGCCTTGTTTTTCTACCATTGTCTCCCCACCGATCTTTACAGATGTTGCCTTTTTATACTCTAGTTTCTCTTCAGAGCGTATAAATCTTTCACCTTTTACAGATGTTGCCTTTTTAATTAACAACCAGTGGGGGATGAAAGAAGAAAGAAGTAGAAGAAATTGGCTTTACTATATTTGTTCCTTTGTAGCTGTGATAGAGACCAAGACATGAATAATCTACAATCAGAGATTATTTTTTCTGTTTCACTATGTGGATTTTAGTTTTGCCCTAGTGAGAACAATACCCATGGACTTCCAACTCAGCACAGATTTTACCCTGAAGATGTCTGAGTTAAATGCCTATCAGGAACCACTATAGTAAGGAAAAGGGCCACCTAAAGAGTAAGACATATCTTTAAGAGGCAGAGAAAGTCCAACAGCCCCGCTTAGGCATGGCACGCTAAACAGAACAAGAAGACTGAACCTTGGCTACACATTCACTTCAGATGTTTGTGCATCATTAGTTTATGGAGTTGCTTTCTCACTCTTTTTGCCATTTTCCCCGATTCCTGCTGGGGAGTCAATTATTTCTGAAAAATATTACTTATAGGGAATCAAGTCCATTTTTTGCTTTATCACAAATTTGGTTGTGCAATACCTTGCGATAGAGACAACTAGAGATACAGACTTTTTTAAATGGATTTAAAAGATATCCAGAATTCAAATGGTAATAAATGCCTCTTAGACAACTTCTTCCCTGTCTAAGCGTACTCCACTGATTTATTTGGGATCTACTTCCCAAACTACCGCCAGCAGCCCCTGCCTGTGAGCATTTCCCCTCTTCTCCACAGCCACAATTGTACACCTGAGGGCTGAATCAGCCTAAGCCAGTGGGATTTCTTCCTCAAGAACCTTAATCAAGAGCCTTGGAATCTGGACGGAGCAGCTTAGCACTGAATCACACAGTAGAGAAAAGCTCCACAAATGCCTTTCACTGATGTTCGGAGCTGACCTGGCTCCGCCTTACTCAGGGTCACTTAGTGTTATAAACTGAACATTTGTGTCTGTCTAGAATTCAACTTGAAATCCTAACCCTCAATGTGTTAGTATTAAGAGCTGGATCTTTGGGAAGTGGTTAGATCATGAGGATGGAGCCCTGGGGTATGAAATTAGTGCCCTTATGAAAGAGATTCAGAGCGTTCCCTTGTCCCCTCCACCATGTGAGGACACAATTAGCTGATCATTTATGGACCCAGATGCAGGCCTTCACCAGATACCAACTTTGCCTGTGCCTCCATCTCGAACCTTCCAGCCTCCAGAACTGTAAGAAATAAATTTCTGGTGTTTCTGATGTTTTGAAGTCATCCAGTCTCTGGTACTTTGTCAACTCTTTCTTCACGTGTATATACCACTGCAGTACCTTTTCAGTAAACTTACCCTTTGCTTAAACCAGTTTAAGTAAGTTTCTGCTACTTACTAGTTTTAGTTCAACTAAATTTGAAATCGAATCCAAAAGAAAATTTAAATTTTCTGGCACAAGGAAAAAAGATACAAAAGAAATCAGATATTCAAAACATCATAGAGCCCTGCTATTTCTTTCTAGAAAACAAGGAAAACATCCCTACTATGGGAAAATAAACACCTTACATTTTTTGTTGTCTATATCACAAGGTATTGCACAACTAAACTTGTGATAAACCAAATATCACACATTGTTGTAGAGTTTTCCTGATTCCAAAAATCTTAACCAGTTGATGAGAAAGTTATAACACAGTAGTTGTTCAAAACTAAAGCCATAAAATTGTGGTCCATGGGTCACATCCACCCTCAAGTGTGTATTTTTGGCCTGCACAATATTTTAAAAATATTAATTGGTTGCCAAATGTTTTAGTTTGGTAGTTTCACCGAACAACTTCTTATTACAGTTTTCTTGGGAAAAGAAAAAACGATCTGACCTCAACACTATTAAATCTAATTGCCATTTTCAGTCTTCACGTTATTTGCTCTCTTAGCCTCATTTCACTTAGCTGAACACTTTCTCTTCCTTAAAAGGAGATGCCACTAAGGATTGTTCCTCAGTTCTTTCTACTGATTCCTCCTCAACTGCCCACCTCTAAATATTGGGCTTTTCAGGATGCGTTCTTCGGTTGCCTCTCCTCTATCCACAGTTACTTCTTAAGTTAGTTCATTAACTATCATGAGATCAAATATTACCTCTCTACTGAAAACTCCAACCTTGGCCTCCCATCTGAATTCAAGTCCTATGCTTCAACTTGGATGTATAACTCAAAACTGCACTGGGATGTCTAAAACCTTTCTGAAACTTAACTCTTTTGGAATCAAACTTTTGGCCCCTGTTATATAAATCTTCTTTTTCCCATCTCAGTAAACTGAAACTCTGTTCTGTTTTCAGATTACAATCCTAGAAGTTTCTCTCTCCCTCCCTCCGTCCCTCTTCCTCTTTATTCTCCCTCTTCCTCCTCTTCTTCCTTGTACTGTTCCTACTCTTTCTCCTTCTTATTCTCTCTCCTTTCACTTCTCCCCTCTCTTCCTCCATCTATCTTCAAACCATATCTAGTCTGATTACTACTTTTACTAGTCCAACTCACCATTATCACTTCCATCCCTTACTATAATTGTCTCCCACCTATTCTCCCTGGCTTGCACTTGACTTCTTACAGACTGTTCTCAACAGGACAGCAGAGTGGTCATTCTTAAATCTAACACCATGTCATTTCTCTGCTTAAAACTTTCTAAACACTTTCCATTCAGCTCAGAGTAAGCACCAAAGTCCATACAGCAGCCTACAACCTGTTACATATTCAAGTTTTTGGCAACTGCTGAATCCATCTCCCTCCATCACTGTCCAGTCACAAGGACCATTGTGGTACTCCTTAAACATACCAGGCACCTCTTCCTTGGGGTCTGTGCACTGGCTCTTCCCTTTGCCTGGAATGCTCCTCTCCAAGGCATCCACATGACTTGCTTCCTTATTTCTTCCAAGTATCTTCAAATGTCACCCTATTAGAGCACCCCTCTCTGGGGCTGGGGATTTAGCTCAGCAGCACAGCGCCTGCCTGGCAAGCGCAAGGTCGTGAGTTCGATTCCTGGTACCGGGAAACAAAAAAATAGAGCACCCCTCTCTAACCACTTACGTAAATGGCTGCTTCGTCATATTCATTTTTCTCATCTTATTTTTTCTATAGCACTTATCACCCCAATACACTGTTCATTTTTGTGTTGGCTTGTTTGTCATCCATCTCTATCCATGTAGAATAAGGTCTATGCCAGTAGGGACTCCATCTTTTACTGCCACACCGTAAACCTACATCAGTCTCTGATACATAGGAGGATATTTGGTAGATATTTATTGTAAAGGGCCAGATTCCTATAGCAAAAGTCAGCTAACTTTAGACAGAGCATGAACTTTTGAACACACCACAATCCTCACTGTTCCCTAGCTGGTTTTACTTTTATATTAACTGTCTGACCTGTTTAGTAATTTAAATTTAAGACCTTCATTGTAAAAGAAAATGTTTCTTTCAGAGTATGCATCTGGAAGTCCAGTACTCCACAACATAAAATAGAATAGGTTTGGTGATAATCAAGAAGCATAGCTTTCTAAGCAGATAAGCTATTGTGAACAACTATCTCCCATTTAGTTTCAGAAAGAAATGTACTGTTCTTTTTGCTTGTTTGTTTGTTTTTGGTTTTTTTTTTTTTTTTTTTTTTCAGTACCAGGAATCGAACTCATGACGTTGCACTTGCCAGGCAGGCGCTGTGCCGCTGAGCTACATCCCCAGGCCCTGTACTGTTCTTTTGGGCTTTGCTGAGCCTCAATTTTGGCTTTCACTGAATTGGTCAGTACAGGATTTGTGCTTTGAATGTGCTTTTCTGTCAGTCTTGCATTAGGTAGTGGAAAAAATAGGCAGGGGGAGTATGTATCACATCTGAGCCAGAACAGAGAATAGAATCCTTACCTTGAAGAACTCAATGAGAACATCTTTATTTTCCAGCCAAATGATGTTAGAGAGGTATTGGCCAGGAGTAGGAGGTGGGGCTACCATTGGAAAATTCTTCAGGGCTTTTATTTTGTTAAGAAATACCTGAAAGCAGATGATCAAGATGAGGGTGATCAGGTCCTACAGCAGAAAATAGACACTGTGCAAAAGTTAAAGAAATCTAATTAAACTACTATTTTGCAAATTTAACCTTGAGTTTGGCTTATAGCTTCTCAAATCCTGTGTAAATTATCCTCTTTTGTTGCTGTTCTCCTCCATTTTCTATATTCATTGATTTTTTTTTTTTTTTCCAGTACCGGGAATTGAACTCACGACCTTCTGCTTGCCAGGCAGGCGCTGTGCCGCTGAGCTAAATCCCCAGCCCCTATATTCATTGATTGATTTACTTAGATCCAACCTGTTACCTTTACAATCCAGCTAACATTCTTCCTACCTTGGCTCAAGCTTCAGTTTTCCGAATGTTATGCTGATTATCATACAACCTATTGCCATGTTCTCTCAAATTTTCTTATGTGTGTATGATTTGTGTCTGTAAATCCTTCTGATTTGGGAGGATACAGTTCCAGCCTCTGGTCTCTGAGAAGCTTTCTCTAGCTTCTCTCATGAGGAAAGAGAAAACTCTTTTCCTTCCCTTATTCCCTAGCTTTGCCTACATGTGTCCCGTGTGGAACTCACTACACTGCAGAGTTACTTTTACTTATTTGTATTGCCATTCATGTTACCTGTCTGTTACTGGTTGGGTGGATAAACGGCTCACTGAAAATAAAAGAGAGCACAAGGCCTTGGGCTCTGTGTCACTTAAGCCTTCCAATCTGAAGAGTCCAAGGCACTCAGTGTGTTTCTGTTTATTTTCTATATATTTTCTCTGTTAAATTAAATAAACTTTCCTGTCTATAGCCTGGGATAGAGAATTATAACTCTTTTCCTCACAACTAGGTAATTACTGGTCATTTAATGAGGAACCAATGATTGATTTAACCATTACTTTTCTAAACAAAACTACGGGGAAAAAAAAGTCTGTCTATTCAGAAGGATTATTATTTACTTATCTTAATAAATGGACACCAAGCATTCAATGGTCTTTTTGAGGTCAATTTTGAGGTCAATACAGACCTCAAAATGGTGAGACAAATAGAACACAAAATACAGTGTTTTAGAGGCATAACTGAGAAACCCTATAAAGCAGCCCTTTCTTCTGTTCCCTCAGACAGAGATTAAAGCGAGCTCATATTGTCCATTTAGTGCTGAGATAGAGCACCAGAGAAAGCTCTTCTGTCCCACATGTCCCCTTTGTCTTCCAAGGCAGAAGTGAGGGACAAAGCCCAGAAAATAAACAGAAGCACAGTGTACTGTGGCCCCAGGCTCAGAGCTACAGGGACATCAGGAACAGTGTGTCACTGGGCAACACAGACAGAATGTGGAACCAGAGCTTCCATCTTTCTGACATGTGCTAGGAAGCAGATCTTCACAGGGAATAGAAAGAACACTCTTGTTTGTACAGTCTAGATGGAGGGCATAGTAGAGTGATGGGATTAAACGTGGCTTTCCCCCCTTTGGCAGACACTCCATTTTTCTGAAGTATGTTTATAATTTCTCAAAAGTCCTTTCGTGGGCCAACTGATTAAGCAGTCTCCTCTGCTCATCTCCTCTCTGAACTTCCCTGCTCAAATCCCCACCATCATGCCCCCCACATACACATGCGTGCGCACACACGTACACACACAAACAGGTCGATCCCTCCCCAACCATGTAAATACGACTGTCACCTCCATCGTCAGTGGGACTAGGTGGTATATACTCTCCTAGTAGATGGAAAAGAAGTAAAACCTAGTGAGTCAAGTGAGAGAGCCGAAGAGAGATACCACTGAGAACAAGCCTAACAGGAAACAGACACTTTGTCCATAGGAAATGGAAAACTTTGTTCAAGTCCCATCCTAAAGCCTGACCACATAACTACTGTGGGTCCTGTAAGATACTCTGTTCTTTTAATAATTTCCCAATCCTACTTCTTTATAAACCTAAATCTAACTTTACTAAACCTGCAGCTACATAGTTTTGAGCCTAGCAGACAGCACTGACTTTGGTTATCATTGGCATTGCAAAGGCTGCAGGCTATCGCGGAGGTTACAACTGCAGTTAAACACCTTGTCCAATCAATCTCCCTCACACCCCTGTGAAAGGAACAGTGCAGGCTGGTGTGTTGGGCTGATGGAATCAAGCAATGTGGAAATTGCCTTATTACATTGTTCATGCTGATGGCCTCATGTCTATCCATAATGCCTCTTGACCAAAGGAAGGTGAGACGTTTCTGAGCTTTAGCAAACACTCTCCGGACCGCCTGTTTGGTCTTTAAAGCAATGACAACATCACGATTCTCGTGCTCTATGAATCCTGAGGAAAATGAAACTTGGTAAACAACTTATGCAATAACAGCAATGATAACCAATGTTTGTATAATAGTTAATAGTTTCCAAAGCATCCACGCAATATCTTCTCATTCTATTTTCACACAGAACTCGTGAGGCTGGTGGGACAAAAGTTATTTTCATCTGCATTATATAGACAAGAAAACTTAAAACTAGCTTCCCCCACCAGCTAAGAGAAAATCAGTCTCTCTACCATACTCCCGTGGCATCTCCTATGTATTTCCAGGATGAAGTTGATTATAGTATTACTGTTTTTATTTATCTGCCTTATCTTCTATATTACATATTCTTTGTTGGTTGGATAAATAAATGACTAAGTGAAGGAATGAAAGAGGCCCTGAACCTTGACTGGTGGATCTTTCTGAGATCAAATCGTCTATTCTTTCTACTTTACTAAATACGAGAAATTATGGACTGGACTGAATCAAAGTTAAAACATCATCCATTTCGTCCTTGGAATCATTGAGCACAATGCCTGACATATAGAAGGTGCTCACATATTTTTTCATTGACATGAGCTAAACAGTAAAATGAAAGGTAGTCATGATCAAGAGCATAGATTTTAGTGTCAGAAACACCAGGGGTGGCGGGGTGGCTCACCACTTACCGGCCATGTGGCCTCAGGGAATTTAATTGTAAGATTAAATGAGATAATGCATATAAAACATTTCATAATGCCTCACTTAATAAGCATTCAATAATCAGTTGTAATAGTCATATGGAAAGAGGCACTGTTTTACAGAACTAAATCAAGAAAACTGTATAATATTCTATAGCGGTCTAAAACAATACAAGAGTTCCTAGGCCCCTCTTCTATAAAATCACAGAAATTAAAATCTGCCAGTACATGAAAGGTGACAATGAGTCCTGACTTTTCTGAAATGGTGCCAAAATAGTATGATCTGTCTTCTCCAAACTTGCAGCGTCACTCATTAGAAAGTATTCTTTCCATTTAGATTTGGACAGTTGGCCCCTATAGATCCATATGGTATCTTACAATGTGTTTATGAGGACAAAATGGTCTTACTTTCTTCCAGCCCAATTACTAAGACCTTATCATACGCCAGATGCTTTAGCACCCACTGAGGGCCTGACTGTCATCCCCTTAGAAGAAAGCAGACCCAATGCACTTAGCATAAAATCCTCAGGTGCCTTTTGTGTGCTTCAGGCAAGTGCAGTGAGTTCAAGAAAGAGCATCCCTGGGAGCTCTACCTTGAAGTCTCCTTATAAATATGAAACTTTTCTCAAAGGTAACATTCACGTGTCATTTTCTTACAACTTTGAGAACTCTGGCATTCCTGCAATAATATACTCCCATGCTTCTCTTATTCTTTCTTTCTAAATAGGACTCCCTTAACTCTACAGTTCCCTATTTGTGCTCTCACATACCTCACCGGACTCCACTTTTTTCAGTGTTCAGATCTACCCATATTTTCTTTCCCTTTCTTGGCCAATTATATGTGCTCAATAAACACTGGTTTAATGAATAAATGAATGGATGAGTCAATGGATGAATGAATGCATGAATTTATCTTTCTTCAGTTAATTTATGGAAACATAAATTATAATTTCAGGAGACCAGATACTCCCACAACTTACCTAGCTCTCTGATAGCATCTTGTTTGTTTTTGTCCAAAATGTCATGCAATTTCTATAAGAAATTAAGAAAAACATGCATTTTTAATGGCATCAAGTGCATTTCTGGCTTTAAATTTTAATAAAAAGAAATTTGGTAGAGAAAATTTCACTTAGTTTGATTTAGGATAATTATGTTTCTTAATTCTCCCTTCTGGTCAATTCTACTGCTTTTCCTGTGCTGAGACCCAAATTGCAATGAAGGCTATGATGTTAGTATTTCACACAGCTACTGTATCTAATAGTTCCCGAAACGGATTTTATCCACTGTCTGTGCAGCTCAGAGAATTCTCACAGACAGAGCCCAATATGAAGATGTGCAAAGCGCGCAGGTATTTGGGGAACCAGTCTACAAGGAGCGCAAAAAAAAGTGGAATAATGAGAAAATACAGGGTCAATGAGTAACTCCTTATCTAACTGAAGAAATAACTCCACTCTAAGGCTAAGCAATCAACCATACAACAGATATTTGCTGGCGGCTCATTATGTCCCAGGCACTGCTTCTCATGAAGATTTCTCTCTAGATTTGAGTCTTTCTGGAGCATGTATTTGTCCACACCAACAGCTCCATGACGGTACAACTGATATTTCTACAGAGTTGTGAGGTACAGCTGTCTGAAACTCTACACTCATACAATGCATGGCACAGTGCTACCTATGGGAACAATTAGTCTGTTGTCTAAGCAAAGTGAAATTTTGTTTTGTTTGTCTGGACTTAGAAAACTCGCATGTAATATATCCACCATTTTGAATGTAAGAATGAGCTACATAATTTTCATCAAACTGTTTCTTCTCCCTTAATAACATTAGAGGAGTCAGTATTGGGAGGTGCCATGTGATTAAACACCTATGTGACACAGCAAGGTCTGGCACAGGTGCATGGGCAGCAGCTAACCCTGTTCATACTGAACTGGACTTAGATCAACACTGTAAGACTTGCTAGAATGGCATTGCACTGGAGAGCATAGGAACTGACTCCTGTCTCCAGAGAGATGATAATCATGGAAGGAGAGCAGTGGCTGAGTCTCTAAAGGTAAGCTGTTATAGGCCAGTTTCAAAATCAAGTCACTTCCAGAATACCAGTTCAAAAGGCCATATAAATCTGTATTAAAGTTTCCTTTAAAAATGTCAAACAGGGAGCTGGGTGTAGTGGCGCACGCCTGCAATCCCAGCACTCAGGAGGCTGAGGCAGGAGGATCATTGTGAGTTCGAGACCAGCCTGGGCTACAAAGTGAGCTCAAGGCCAGCCTGAACTGCATAGCAAGACCCTGTCTCAAAAAGACAAAAAAAAAAAAATAGTCAAAGGGGATTCATTTTATCCCTTATAGGTCAAGGCAACCCCTCCCAAATCTTGATATCTTTCTCCAAACTTTTTTTTTTTAATTTTAAAGAATAAAACAAGGATAACATAATAATAGGGGGGACTTAGCATATTACAGACAAAATGGTAGGAACTTATCAATGGTTATC